TGCAACATATAACAAAGGTTTAACAACCAAGATCTCAGCTGTCAATCAAACTCTTAGCCAATGAGAAGTATAGCGGCCAATTGATGCTAAACGTCGCAGAACACCCACTTTCTGGCGTGCGATTTAAAACGGGCGAAATGGCCGAAAACTAAAATCAGTCTCACGCAATAAATATTGCTGTATTTTTTTTTCTCGCGGAAAAATTGTTTTTTGGCACGCTTGTCCAAGTTAAACTGTAAAAAAATATTTTTTCTTTGCAGTTAACGCTTTAAGGCCAGTACCCATATTTGCTTTTCGTGCCCACGTTCTGTGACCACGAAAGGATTACAGGTCTACCTAACAAATGGCACCCGGGGTACTAGTGTGTTTTGTACTCATAAGTAGACAAGGAAACGCAACTCGCTCAAGTACAGTAAAACGCCAGTGTGTGAACCAGCCTTAATATTTTTTTACTTTTGCTCGAATACTCGCTGACCTGCGGCACACCGCCGTTTATTCATCTTATTTCCAGCGGTGGCAACCGGAGGAAGCTATCCATAGCAATGGCGCCTCATCGGCAATCCCCCCGTGGTGTTCCCTGGACGAGCCCACGGCAGGGGTGGATCCTGCGGCGAGGAGGAAGATCTGGCAGGGCCTAGACAACGGCAGAAACTGATGGGCGCCGCGGTCATTCTCACCAGTCACAGGTAATTACTGCCGGCGTTAAAGTCGCTCGCTCACGGGCCTTGGTTGAGCTTGTTGCTGCATTTTCTCGTCATCCTGATCTCGTTTAAATCTCGTTAACTTCATCGCTTTGCTACCTGGAAGCTTGGAAGGTTTTTACCATTCCATGTGTGACTGTAATTGACACCTTTCGTGTCCTGGGCCATGAATCTAGCTATCAATTTGGGCATCATTTATGCATGTTTAATAAGAGAATTATGCATGCTGTGAGGGGAATTCGCATGTGCAGAATTTACTATGTAGCTTCACACCAGTGTGTATGTGGATAAGGAAAGTTTGTCGTTTAGGTGTTTTTTTTTTCTTACTTAATTTCTGCAAGCATGGGAGAAGGCACAGCACACTGACCCTTGCTTTTTTACCGACGACTACCTTCGAAGTTTTTCTAACATTTGTATGAGCTTCTAACGCAATGAGAGCTCTGTCATGAATGCTAGCATGGTACATGGGCAGGAAGCTTTCAATTTCTTGTTTCCCACCCCTCCCCCACCCCCCAAGTGCAAGTTGCCCCCCCCCCTCCCCCCCCCCCCCCCAAATTGAAATGTTGTCTTATTTTCATCACTAAAATAAGCTACACATCGCCGGGAACTCAGTCTCTACCCAAATGTACCTCTGGCGGTCGGGACCAGACGCCAAAGTTTCAGGACAAATCGTTATCTGAACCAAATGCTACGAGGAATTCCTGGAAATTTTATTTTGGGAAATTGGTGGCCGTTTGAGCCCATAATTACATGGGGCTTAATGCGCAAACCATAAGGAACGAGCCCCATTTTCCCATTGAAAGGTTAAATAATCATTGTTTAATTAGATAATTTATGTCTTTAAGCTCTCCCACGTGCTTCCCAGGTGCTTCGAGTAGTTCTAAAAGGAGTGACTTAATTCAACGACGCTTTGCAAGTTTCTAGTCGAAACACTACCGTTATATCCCGAGAGATAGCCCACCTAAATGAATAGCAACTCGGATGAAAATAAAAAGTAAGCAACCTTCAGTGTGCCATTTAAAAAAAAAAGTTGAAAAAACGTTAGTTCTAGATTTTTTGGCCCTCAAAACTCGTGACCGCAGAGAGGGGCGACGAACCAAAGACGACTGTCCTCCTCAGTCGGCAATGTTCGCCTATCTCCAGTCGCGGTTAAGTAACGCCGCTTATTGGCCGAGGTTAGCGTTGGCCAGGGACCTGCAATTACTAGAAGTGGGCTACCTTTCGGTGTTTCAGACGAAAAGAGCAAATCATGCCAAAAATAATGGGCGGGCTACCTTTCAGCAGTGGCACATCTGTCGGAATATTGCGGTATATCCGTTTTTACCAAGTAAAAAGTAAAGCCCAGGCAATTTTTTTCCTAAGCAGTATGTTCGTTCGCAATTCCTCCCCCCCCCCCCCCCCCCCTTTATAGTCGGTGCCTCTGTCATGGTACACCATTTGCCTCCTGTCTTTCATAATGTGCTTTATTCAGGGAATCCTATTCATTACCACCAGGTCTCAGCTGCCTCGGTGGCTTCGAGGCAAAGTGCCACCCTACAGATCTGCAGTTGGTATATTCGAATTCCAGTCGGTGTGCCCGCAGTTTGTCCAAATTCATCCCTAATATTCCATTGGGGTGTGCCAGGTGGCCTTTGTAGATTTGGCACACCCAAATGTGATTCATTGCCAGCTCTCGAAATGTTGGAATAAAATTGTCTTGGGGAGGATTTTGAATGCATCTAGCTACACACGCACCTTTTAGCTCTTTTATTGAAGAAGGGCTACTAATGTTTGTTAACCCTGTTCTAGCATGGAGGAGTGTGAGGCACTCTGCCAGCGGATATCCATCATGGTGAACGGGTCGTTCCGCTGCATGGGGTCCACCCAGCACCTTAAGTCCAAGTTTGGCCAAGGGTTCACGGTGCTGGTGAAGCTGCGTCACGACCAGGCCGTCACTGCCACTACGTCGGCCGTTGCAGACGTTTGTAACGCCATGGAGGATGCTTTCGGCGGCTGCTGTCAACTACGAGACTCTCACCAGGTGGGGCTTACCTTCAAAAAGATTTGCAGTGTTGTTGCTTGAGGAACCAATCACTGGCTACCATGGAAAGCTTCCCTTCTTGTATTCTTTTAACGGGAGAATTCAGCGCGTTATTAATATTGTTCCTTGTTTCCGGTGTATACAGCATGACTAGGGTTTTTCGTTTTTGGGTTTTATATTTCTTTTAATTCGGAAGGGGGGGCGGGGGGTAAATATCGGGAGCTATTTTTCAAGTTGATAATCGGGGATATCTGGTGTTTTGTGGAACCATTCCGAAATTCTGGGATTTTTCGGGTGAAATTTACGAATGTAATAATTAATGCATTCTGTATTTTTTTAATCGAAAGGTAAAATATAGGGCTATGTTTCAAGCTGGTAATCGGGGGAAAATGAATGTTTTTTTAGCAAATACCCCGAAATTCAGCATTTCTTTGGAAATTGATAAGATAAACAATAATAACAGTAAAGTGCTTTGATCACTTCTAAGACACAAAAACCTTATATTCACAAAAGCTGCTCATCAATGCTTTGCACACTCTTGTTAACGTTGGTTAGGGGGTTTTGAAATTTTGGGAGAAATCGGGTTTACCCCTTTTTCCAGAAACATATGTTTGGACTGTAAAAATCGGCTAAAATTGAGTTTTACCCAAAAATGAAGGACCCTAAGTATAACCTCATTACTACAGTTCTGGTTGCAGCAGACAGTCGGGTGTAATAGTCTAGCTAGTGTTCCCGTCTTTGCCATTGAACCAACTTCCCTTATTGCTGGTTCTGCTATAACATATGTTTGAATATAATGGGTTTCTACTAGCGAGTTTGTAAGTAGTTCATTATTTCCTCATAGCATGTTCTTCGGCAACAGTCGTCACTTTGGAGATTCGACATTGCGCACGGCACCTCACGAAGCTTGTACGACCCAAAATTTGCAGCGACGACGGTCCTCGGCAAGGCCCAACGAATTAATCGCCATTTTTCAAAGTTCACAAGTTTCAAAGAACCAGTTCTTCTCCAATATCCGTCCATATTTCGTCACTCTCGCTGGTCGGAGGAGACCCCGGTCACGATCCATGTCAAAGTCTGCAGTGAGAGCATCTGCGTTCGGCGTGCTCCTTTTTACAAAAGACCACAATCTTTTATCACTATCAAGGTCCATTGTGGATTTCATACAGTGGAATCTCGTTAATTTGAACCCGAGGGGGACCAGAAATTTCTTTGAAATATGCGAAGTTTGAATTACCGAGAGTTTCCTTTTGAAAAACACATAGGAGGGAATCTGCATCGTAATTTGAATCATCCGCAAGTTTGAATTATCGAGATTCCACTGCCGATAAATTCCAAAACAAGATGCCGATGCATCGTCGGAGGTGGGAAGCTCACACTTGAGGCAGGACGACCGAAGTTTCTCCCCGGCATTTTTACTCTTTCGGCGACCCTAGCGTACTTGTCTCCAAACTTCACCGGTTTTTTGCGTGTAGTGTACGTCGTCGCTCATTTCTGGTCCCTCCCGCCCGCTTTGAACAGACGCTGCTGCATTTCCACGTGACAGACCTGAGCATCAAGTGGAGCGACCTCTTCGAGACCATGGAGGAAATGAAGCAGCGTCTCCGGTTTGAAGACTACATCGTCAGCGACACGACACTGGAACAAATTTTCCTGGCCTTTGCGCGGGCGCAGCGTGACGCAGAAGACACCTCCGACACAATGCGCGTCAGTGCCTGAGGTGCAAGGAAAGGCGTCGTCTGCCTCCCGTTGAGTGAGTCAGATGCTACGTACATAATGTTTGTACTTAAACGGGGAAGTATGTTATGCGAATACGGCGAAACCCTGTTTATACGACTTCGACGGGACCGCGCCCGAAAACATCCTATAATCTGCAAGTCGTACAATTAAGAAAACAAACATTTTGGGAGTTTTATGGGTCAAACTGACAAAGGGCATCTGGCGTGCCCGGCAGTAGACCAGAGCCGTGTATGGAGAGAGTTTGGCCATTCGTTGGGAAGTGCAGGAGAGAAATGAGGAGGCGCCATTGGCCGAAAGCGGGCTGGGCTTGTTCCAGGGCATCTTCACGAATTCGGATGTGGCCAACCAGAAGCCGGAAATATTACCCTGGTGGTGGTCGCCAGAGACAGACTTAATAAGTGCGTCGGGGTAACTCTCGGCGACTGAAAATATTGTGCAAGTGATGTATCAATCATGGTCATCCAAAATCATGGTAGAAGAGTGCAACTAGCGGAGCGATCGACATAATCCGTACGCCAGGCGCCGAGGGCCGGGAATCTGCCGTCCGAGCGGTCACACTCTGTCCGAGCAAAACAGCGTTGAGTGGTACATTTGTTTCTTACATATTTCTGCACGATCATGATTGAAACATCACGTGTACCCTATTTTCAACCATAAAGGGTTACTACACTACACTCTTATGCGCTTATTAAAACCTTGTACCGACATAGACCTTTGATTAAAACAGTTTCTCGCTACCACCGCTAGTAGATTCTTTTCGGCTTCTGGTTGGTCAAGAGGGCATGTCAAACCCACTTTTTGCGTCTGGTGTACGCCGTGGCTCTGCCCGCGCCTCCCATTGACCAAACTTTGTGTACACGGCTCTGCGGTAGACTACGGATTAATTTGGACTGCCTGGGGATCTTTTGACGTGTAACTGAAATGGCGGTTGCGCCATGGCTTTTCGGCAGCGAGCTTCTGTCGGATTGCAGGCAGCTCGGCCAGGACTCGAACTTGGCGACCGGGGATTCATAGGTCCGCACGAGTTAGGAAAAACAATGATGTTTAGAGTGTGGGCGGGCTGCAAGGGCAAGAAACTAAAGGCAGACGTTTGCTCATTCGGTTAGCCGGAGAAATGCAGAGCTGTCAAAGTGAGGTGGTTGTAATGCCAATCACGAGAAAAAACAGTATTAAACTGAATTTGAGATTGAATGCCTAAAACAGTTAGGAGCTCTATCAAATTTGCGATTTGGGTACGACTGAAAAATGGACTTTTTTTTTTTCAGAAAATCCTCAACAGAGTTCGTGCTGCTTCCATTGTGACATTGTGTGTCTTATGAGTTCAATTGCCCCGTGGTGCCGCCTGCCAGCTAGACTGTCCCGCCTTGTGAACTTCCTGTGTTGCCGTCCGTAACAGCTGCTTCGAGGAACAAGGAAGAAAGCCCGAGATTGGTAATTTTCAAGGAAGAGACGGAACATTGGGTTTGTTCGTTACTCGTAAGTTATTTTCGTGGACCTCGAAAAATAGGATCAAAAGTTTGGTAGCCTAGCCGCGACTACGTACGGTGGTGCGTGCACAATGCAATCTTGAGTGTTTACAACTGTCACAAGTTGGAACTTTCTTGGAGTATGTTCAGTCTCTAGGTAACATGCTAAGAGACAATGTTATGCATTCCTTTAGTAAGGCAATGTTGATTGCTGTATTTTGCACAAATGGAAGAAATTTTGGGGAAAAGATGTCCCCAGAAGAGATTGTTTTTAGAATGTACTTACCTCGTCAGTTCACTACAGTGCCTGGTCCACGATGAACAAACAACAAGTGAACTTCAGAGATGTAAAGGTGTGGAGATTTTAAGCTTTAGAACTTTGTGCATCTTGGTTCGTTGTGACTGGCATTCATTGTAGGCTGTTGCATAAGAAGCACTTCAGCGCCGCTTTGTTGCAGTGCTTTGTGTTGGGAATCCCGGCCAAGTGAGGCTCGAATGCCCCTCAATTTTGTATCATATATGCCATACATATATATTTGGTAAACTTTTTATGTATTTTTAATAAAAAAACAATTATATAAATCTATAAAAATAATCTTAGATGATTATATAAATGGTAACAGTCCAAATATATACCTAGGTATGCCCACTGGTGTTTTATTAAACTCGCTCTATTTTTTAACGCCGAGGTTCATTACTGTTCAGATAAATTCTGAAATCTTCAGAAGTTAAATACCGGTTTAATCAAGTTAACTGTGGTTCAAGCTGCATGACGGGGTCAAAGAATTGTAGTGCCTTGGCTGTCAAGTTTAAAGACACTACACTGCTTAATTTTTTTTCATTAATTTTTTTTGTTTATTTTTTCAAAAATATGAAAGTTTGCTCGTCATGAAGAATAAAAGATGTCTTTGCAAGCTTTAAAGGTGGGTTGTACTGAGACGCTTTGGCGGTATGCTGTGACATGTGTGCTTTGTCTCATTTTTCCCATTTCTATAAGACTTTTTATAACCTACTAGTCATGTTAAACTTTCTTTTTATTTGGCATCTTTGTATTCAGTGCTGATACATTTATACTTTGTCATCGTTTTAAGGGGCACTTGTGATATTTTCAGCCTCATGCTTTGTGCTAAAGCGGTGGTGTATTAGTGAGCAATATCTTCATTAAAAAAGTCCGAGGACACCTAAGCACTTCTTATGAGTGGTGAATTCGAAAGCATGATTGTCGTTCTTCTGCTCCCTTAGTTCATCTGTGGCGTAGTGGCGTGGACAGCCACGTTTCACCGGCGGACGGCCGAGGGCGCACTGTCGTGAAGTGACCGCCGCGCTGAGCTCGGCCGTGAGCCCGCTCTGGAGTCTGCCCGGGCGGGCTCTGGCTCTGCCGCCACTGCTCCCTCCTCCTTGAAGCGCGCCAGCCTATGCGAGCATAATCTATCAGAAATCGGTTTCACTTGGAAAAGGGGATTTTAGGTGCCGTTTGGCCAATGTTTGGCGTGGTTTCAAAGACGATGACGTCGGTTCGCTCCATAAAACAGGTAATGCTTTCGCAATAATAAAAAAAAGAAAAAAACATGTTAAGGACAAACATTTCTATCCGTTCCTGCTTCATGGGGGTTACATGGTCCTTTATACCACGGTTTTCAAACTTTTAGTTCTCAAGGAACCTCTCTCTGGCTTGTTCCACCTCTTCAGCAGCATTCATAGTGCGGAGATATATATCCCCTTCCCTTTCCTGCATTTTTTTACTAGACATTTTCAAAATGTCTTGGGTGAAGGGCTAAGAAGGGGAAGCGGAGGTCCCCCTCACCACCTTCTGTTTGGACAGCACTCCTTGCAAGGTGTAGCTTACTGAGTCACGAGAAGATATAAAAGCTACTGGGGAGTAGGCAATGAATAAAGGAAAGCTTGCTTAGGGGCACAACAATCAATCTGAACGTTGTTTTGTGCTGCTTGTGAATAGGAATATTATGCTTGAATCCCCACCTGATTACTTGATCCCTTAGCTTGAAGCGGTCCGAATCCCCGCAGCCCTCTGCATTTGGTCTATGATAATGGGCAGCTAGTATATCTGCAACAAAAATGAGCTTAAATTTATCTGCTCTCGAAGCATGTCGCAAGTCGGCGCGCATTTGCTTCCTTTATACACATTATCACTGCCATCAAACTGTCACGGGTTCATTCTCACGTGGTATTCCCGCACAATCGTCCCATCGCCTCGACAATTAACTCCCTTAATTTTCGACGCACATCTGCCTTCGCTTACAGAAATACCAAATCATTCTGGAATGGTCTTCCAGGATCAACCGTTTTAATTACTGACCTCAGGATTTTTAAAACTTCAGTTCTCTTAGACTTTGGTACATGTGCTTATTATGAAACTTAAAACGTCTTGTGTCGTTTTCTACCTTCCAGTTTTCCTCGCGTTAATGTGCATTATTTTTGTTGTTTGGTTTATTGGGTTGTATATTTCATGGTATTCGCCCCTCCCGCCGCCCCTCATGTACTGGGATATACTGAGTCATCGCACCCCTCACCCTCCGTCCGTCTCCTGGAATTTAAAAAAAAAAGTGGCTGTAAACTACCTATGCATACTAAGGAAGACATATTTCATCTGTTTTTAATTCTTTCATTGGAGTTCCTCAGACTGGACCACAACATGTGCGGCTATTTCCTAACTGTTGCTCATAAAATGCACATAAAAACTATTAAAAAAATCATTGGTCTAGAATTTTTTGGACGTGCCTCTCCTGAGTTTTGCTTGAAGTTTTATATTTTTGTACTTTCAGCATAAAGAGATATATGTGGGAGCGTTCCACACACAATACGGTCTAAAATTGTATACTTTACGCCTAGTATATGTAGCTTGTAACTAAGACAACAAACGAGGGAGGGTTAAATTAAGTATTATTTCCTTAAAGCTAGACAAATATTTTTAACCTTGGCCCAAAGTAACTCCATTGCGCCTAGTTTTTCGTTGGGAAGGAGCCTTTTGGTCCCAAGGAGCACAGCTCAAGATGCCCTTCTTGAACAAAACAATATGTTCAGTAAAACTTTTCAGGACAAACAGTTTCTTATTATTTTTCTAGATTTGTTATTTTGTGCACTTTTAAATCAATCATTTTTTCATCGAGAACAGTTTTGTTTTTATAAAAGTCTATGAGGATAAAGTTGAGGTCCCATCCCCCTCAGTGTTGGCTCTCTCATTTCGCTTTTTAAAGGTACAAATATATCATGAAAATAGCTCAAGCATAAGTTGAAAAATCTTGGGCAAAATCAGTAAATATCCGGTTCCATGCAGCGGGTTCGGAACAGAAAGGGGGGAGGGGGGCAGTGGGGGGGGGGGGGGGGGGAGCGACTGCCCTCCCCCCCCCCTCCCCCTCCCCAGACAAGTCAGGAATTTAATGGAAACAATTCGCGGGAGGAAATGCAAAACACCGTCGCCCCCCCCCCCCCCCCCCCCCCCCCCACGAACACAGCCGCCCCACATCTCCTGAATTGTTCCAACGCCACTGGTTCCATGGATGAATTAAGCTTCTCTGAAAACCCAGTTAACGCAAAAAAATGGGTGGCAAATGGGCCTACTCCGTTCACCCTTAAACTGAAACTGGAAGCTTCGCCGTCAGTGCGAGCTCGCTGGCTTCCGCAGTGCTTTGGTTGCGCGTGCCTGCGCGTTCACACTTGCGTTAGCAAGGACAGAAAGCTCTCGCTGAAGGCGGAGCTTCTAGTCTCAGCAAGTATAGGCAAGTATAGCAAGTATGTGCTAGAACGTCTCACGTACGTGAGACGTTCTAGCACATGACTTCAATTTTTTCGCTAAATTGAGCGGGGTAGCTTAGTGAGTATAAGTCACGTGACATAATGTCACGTGACTTCCATTTTCCGCGAAATCTAGCGGTGAAACTGAATTGGCGCATTTCACATGGCATGAATCCATGTGACATCATTTTCCCCGCTAAACATTGCGGGTAAAGTGAATTGGCGTTGAGGTCAGGTGACGTTGGTTGTTCCGCTAAATCTAGCGGGGAAACTGACTGTGTATAGGTCACGTGACGTCGTTTTTTCCGCTAAATTTAGTGGGAAAACTGAATTGGCGTTGAGGTCGGGGGACGTCAACTTCCCCGCAAAATCTATAGGAGAAACTGAAGTCATGTGACTTCACAAACCACGGCTTCACGAAATTCGGAGAAACTATAACGAAATAATATTTCACGTTAAAACAACAGCGCAGGTGTGAGATAGTTTCTATGAAGATGCAGAGGGAGCACTGCCACCTTGGCGGCGTGCGCAAAGTGCAGGGGGCGCTTCTCTAGCTATCATCATCATCGTTTGCGACGTCACGGGTGGGACCAACGTTACTAAAACACTCAGTTGGGAAACTCGCCGTCGAAACCTGGGCCGCTGGCGTCCACCGAGACCGAGCTAAATGCGACAAAAGCGCCACTCTTTCTCATTTGTCTGTACTGTGGTTACCTTGAGCTTTGTGAAAGCCTGTTTTTGCGTAAAAACAAACGGAAAAGACTCTTTTTCTATGAAATTTATTGGAGTTTAGTACAAAAAGAGGGGCGCGTTATGTTTTTAAAATCTTTTTGCGGCACAATTAATATTGTTTTTATACAACCATGCCTCAGCGGGCCTTTCAGGTAGCGCGTCCCGCCCTAGGTGCATTTTAACTTCGGTATAGTTGAGCGCGGCGCGTCCGCCGGGGAGACGGGGGTGGCACCCCTGTCACCTCTTCCGCCGTATCTGTTCTTAAAGCCAAAATAGAAGTCACTTGTATTTCCTCGAGTGGCCGCTGCGGGAGAAATGGTGGCGTCGTGTTCGTCATTAGCTCGGTGCTCGGAGACAGGAACTTTCTCGAGACGTCGAGCAGTGCGGACGCGTCTCCCTTGCGCTCCTGGATTTTCGGCGTTTCAGAAAGACGACGAAGGGGGCCAAACACCAAGATGCGCGGGAGATGGGCTCCCAACTTGAAGGCCGCAGTTTGCGTTTTCCTTGTGACATCGCCATTGGAATCGGTACCACCGGCTACCTAACATCAAGACCGATCGATTGACACCAATTTCATCGCAATCGGACCGACCATTCGTCGAAAAATGGCACTTGAAGACCGGACCGAGCCGCCTTTAGAACCTAGGCCTAACCTCGACACAGCGCTAGCGGCTACAGCTGCGGCTGCAACTGCTATGCCGGAGCCCCCGGCGAACGATCAATCCCAAGCAGTGTTGGAGCCAAACCCCAATGACGACACAATGGAATTCGACGAGCTAAGTGGCCGTACGTTATCCCACCCCGGCCCGTGGAAGCAAATGCTCAGCGACAGACGTAAAGCAAAGCAGCAAGCCTTTTCAACAAACACGCAGCCGGCGCCCGGTAAGCCTAACAGCTCTCCTCGTGTTTCGCGAGCACCCAGACTCCCCGACACCGATTATAAAGTCGTATACCGCCCGAGAGACGGACTACGCATCGCGGCTTGGAGCGACCGACAACTTACAGCAAGCATACAAAAAGCCAGCCGAATACCCGAAGGAGCCTTCAACCAACGCGTGGTAATTCAAGTGCAAGCAGTCCAGAACCTCATCGTGGCCAGCACCCCCTACGAGACCTACGCCGATGCCCTTAGCGATGTCACGTCGCTACAACTGGAGGACGCAACGTATGAAATCTCGCCGTACGTTAAGCCTTTCCCCGGAACAGTGCGGGGAGTCATACACGGTCTAGACCCCGGAACAACCACGGAGCAGCTCCCGAACATCATTGCCTCTCCGGGACCCAAAATACAACAGGCAAGAATGCTAGGCAAGTCCACATCTGCAGTTGTGACATTTGAGGGCCCGCACATCCCTTTCTACATCCATGCTCACGGATTGTACACTCGCTGCCGCCCATACAGACACTCCATCCAGTGTTGCTCACTCTGTGATGACATTGGGCACAGACGGGATATCTGCCCTAATCCGGAGGTGACTGTGTGCGAGCGGTGTCATGAGCGAAATCCTGCGCCGGAACACACGTGCACCCCAAAATGTAAGCTGTGTGGACTCGACCACCTGACGGCTAGCAAAGACTGCCGTAAGAAGCTCCGCCCACCACCGCCGCCACTTCACGTCCGGGAGCGCTTTGCTCAAACTACGCCGACAGACCAGCGGCAGCCTCATCACCAGGTTCCAGGAGCTCACCCACCACCTCCCCCTCACACGCAGGCCAACACCCAACGACGCCACTTCCCTTCGCAACAGGGAAGCTGGTCCGCCATTGTCGCTTCCCCAGAAACGGCCCTGAATGATTTCCCCCCATTGCCCGCACAGTTAGCCTCTGTGCAAGATAAAAACAGCCGCATAAAAACACTAGAACGGGAGAATGCGCAACTAAGAAAACAACTTGAACTGCAAGCGGAACGCACCGAGAAGTTAGAACGTCGTATAGAAGAGCTAATGTCCCACTTAGAAATAATCACGAATGCACCGGCGCACAGTGCTGTGCAAGCAACGGCCACTCCGCACCCAACGCCACAGCCCTCCGTGTTTCCAACCCTACAAGATATTGGAAGGCTCGAAAGATTAATTCACGAGCTTGGCCAAACAATTGAACACCGTATCGATGCGATTGAAAAAAGGCAGGAAGCCAACGAGACAGTCAAGCGCAAGACGCGAAAGAAGACCAAGCAATCCGCCCCCAGTGACCCACCTAGAATTACGCCCTCCGACGATGAATGCGAACAGTACCATAGTGGTGAACCCTAAAAGGTCTCCCCCAACACCACTGATGATTTGGCAATGGAATTGTCGCTCATACCGCGGCAAGCAAAATTCACTATCACTGTTTGCAAACGTACATTCACCGGCCGTTATCGCTCTTCAGGAAACTGGCACAGATCAGATAACGCTCAGGGGGTACACCACGTTTATCACCGATCCTGCCTCACGAACGGCCACTTTGGTCCAGACAACTCAGACAGCGCAGGCACACACCCTCCCCACAACCTTGGACTATGTTTTCGTAGAACTTATCCCAAAAAAGAAGACACAAGCCAGCCTTTTCATCCTCAACATATATAGCCCCCCATCGTCACCCCTCAATGAAATTGACCGCCTCTTCAAGACCGTTAGACAAAGAACAAAAGGGCACGGACTGGGGTGCTATGTTGCGCTTTTTGCACTCCCAGGAGACTTGGAAGAGGGAAGTGACGTCAACGACACAGCAAATGCAGATTGGATGTTGACAGAAGAAGACGAAATCAACATCCAATCTGCGTTTGCTGTGTCGTTGACGTCACTTCCCTCTCCCTAGTCTCCTGGGAGTGCAAAAAGCGCAACATAGCCCCCCAGGTGATCATTGGTGATTTCAACGCGCATCACACAATATGGGGTTACCATAGGGACAACAAAAAAGGAAGGCAACTCCATGAAGCCATTAGACAAAACAATCTTCACTTGTGTAATACCCCAGATACCCCCACGCGGATGGGTAATAGTGTCTCACGAGATACTACTCCGGACCTTACGCTTACTTATGGACTCAAAGATCCAACGTGGGAATGCCTCACAGAAACATTGGGAAGTTACCATTATATCATACAGCTACAGCTCTTCCATCATGAGGCAGCAGCACAAAGAATAGGCACTGCCCGTCTCACCGATTGGAGAAAATTCCGGGAAATAACACCCACCAGTCCCATCCACGCGATTGAAGAATGGACAGCACAAATGTTGGAGGCAGCTAAAAAGCACACTAAGGAATTACCGTTAACCCAAGACTGCCCCGCAATTGACGCACACCTCTTACACCTATGGGAGGCCCGACGAGGGCTAACAAAACGCTGGAAAAAACGGAGAACCAATCGAAAACTTCGTCTTCGTATAGCCCAGATAACACTAGAAGCGGCAACATATGCCATACACCTCAGCCAACAGAACTGGTCGCAGTTCTGCACGAAGCTACAGGGTACCCTCGGCACCCGGCGCACGTGGCACCTGCTTCGGTCCCTTATGGGCAACAAAGAATCTAGATCGACCGCAGTGCATCAGCTCAGACGGCTTATTCATAATTATCAAGGCACAGAAGAAGAGCTCCTCGAGGAGCTCAAGAAACCGTGGCATGATACGAGCGACAAGACCCAGCCTCCCGCCCAACCGTACATGGGTATTCCCAATCCCGAAATGGACGCCCCCTTCACGCTTGTGGAGATAGAAGCAGCGGTTTACAACTTAACCAGGAACACCACGCCAGGCAAAGACAAGATTCGCAATAAGTTGATCCGGAACCTCGACGTCACTGCGTTGGAGGCCCTCCTAAATTATATGAACGAACATTGGACTGCCGGCACGCTGCCCCCCCAGTGGAAGCATGCTGACATCGCCCTAATACCAAAACCCGGAAAACCGCTTGCTCCAGGTAACCTCCGACCCATTTCCCTAACGTCATGTGTGGGAAAGCTCCTGGAACATATGGTGCAAAACCGCCTCTCTCCATATATCGAAGACAACGGCCATTTCCCGACCACCATGTACGGCTTCCGACCCCATCTCTCCACCCAAGATGTCCTCTTGCAACTAAAAGAAGAAATCATCGATCGGCTCACCAGCACACACAAGCGTTGCATCGTTGCCCTGGACATCAAGGGTGCTTTTGACAACATCTCCCACCAAGCCATCCTTCAAGGACTAACCTCTATCGATTGCGGACAACGAACCTACGATTATATCACGGCTTTCCTCACCGGTCGTACTGCAACTATCGGCATCGGACATCTCCGCTCGAACACATTTAAGACCATCTCCAAAGGCACCCCTCAAGGCTCCGTGATATCACCGCTTCTTTTTAACATCGCTATGAAGGACCTTCCACCACTCTTACAAAATATCCCACATCTAAGGCACGCAATCTACACAGATGACCTCACCCTATGGACCCCTACGGGATCCATGGGTGAGCAACAAGACGCCATGCAAAGCGCCATCGAAGAAACACAACAATATCTCAGCGACAGGGGCCTTGAGTGTGCCCCCGAAAAATCCGCCCTCCTTACTCTCTGCACGAAGACAGCGCACCAATGTAAACGAAGCATCCCGGATCCGGAAATCACTATAGCAGGAAAACCTGTCCCCAACGTTCCCCACCTCCGTGTTCTTGGCCTCACGATCCCCCAAAACGGATCTGGTTCCCACACCATTGCACCGCTTCAACGGACACTCTCCCAACTCATGCACCTAATACACCGTGTATCAAATCGTAGATTTGGCATGCAAGAATCTGACACATTACGGATTGTACAAGCCATACTCATTAGCCGGGTCGCCTATGGCACGCCATATTTGTCCCTCAAAACAACCGAAAAATCAAAACTTAATATTGCCCTGCGCCAAGCATACAAGACCGCCTTAGGACTACCTCCCAAAACTTCAACGAAGAATTTGTTGCTACTAGGAATTCACAACACCTGGGAAGAGTTACAAGAAGCACATCACATCTCCCAGTTAGAACGCCTTAAATTAACACCTACCGGACGAGCCACACTGAGAAAGTTAGGCTACGCGACACCCTCCTTGCAAGACCACAAAGAACGAATACCTCTGCACCTAAGAAAAGCCATTCGTGTAGCCCAGATCCCGAAGAACATGCATCCGGTTTACAATAAGGCTCGGCGCATCGCTAGGGCACGAACCATGAACACCAAATATGGCGATAGCCCAACTGCAAGATACACCGACGCCTCCCCGTATCCGCATAAGCCAGCCCATGCTGTATGTGTAACCAATGCAGCAGGGCAAGAAATGACCGCACTCACAGTCCGCACAACATCTACAGAAGCCGCCGAAGAAATTGCCATCGCCCTAGCCGCAACGACAGGCGGCGATATAATTACAGTGCTCACAGACTCTCAGGCAGCGTGTCGGAATTACCTACGGGGACGCATCTCGAAAACAGCGCTTCGCATCCTCAAGACCATCCCCCGGCTCCCCGAAGTACACCTAGTCTGGGTACCCGGACACGAACACCTCGAAGGTAATGAGGCGGCACATGCCGCTGCCCGCGCGCATACACACCGGGCCATTACCCGAGAGGGAACAACCTCACTTGTTGCCCCCACGACCGACCTGCTCATCAACTATGCCGACATACTAGCCCACTACCGTCACGACCGAAGAAAATACCCGGCACCGCACCCAAGATTATCAAGAGATGAAGCCACCACCCTCCGAAGACTGCAGACCAACACATATCCCCACAGCACCCTTCTTCACGCCATCTATCCCGCTCAATACGCCGCCACTTGTAATTTTTGTCCTTCTCCCGGCAACCTTTACCATCAGGTATGCGAATGCCAACGAACCCCGGACCTCACTCCCAAACCCACCCCATCCTACGAGCAGTGGATGGCCTGTCTGACCAGCCCGGACCCTGGGATCCAGCAAGACTTGGTGACAAGGGCCCGGATAGCCAGCCGTAGCCAGGGTATCCCGGACTAAGGATGCCCTCCACCGGGCGGGTGCCCTAACATCTGCACCTGATGCTCGACAAATAAAGGTTTATTCATCATCGGCGTTTCACCGCGGAACCTGGGCCCTTGGGGGTGAGTCTTAACTCTTTTCGATCAGCGGACGACATAGCGAAGCCACGGAATCGTCGTTTTACACGAAACTTCCGCAAGAAAGGCCTATTTCGGACGAAATTTCAAGTCGGGCGGCTAGGCCTAGCGCTAGGCCTAACGCTCCGTCCCTCACGAGGCGCCATGGCGGTCGCAACGAGGGAGCAGCGGAACTTAGCCACACTCATGAACTACATCAAGCGCGATGAAGAAAAGGAGAAGCAAGCCAGCTCACCGGAAACAGACGCGGCGAGAGAGAAGTCGCAATGGAGGACTGTGGGTGGAACAAAACTTCGAGTCAAATTGTCGAGGAAGTTCCGGACCACCATAAAGGACGAGGACAGAGCATACGGAATCATCATTCGTACGAAAGGACTGGACCTGAAGACTATCGTCATCGGTGAAATCACGGCCGCGATCGCCACCGCGACCGGAGTATCGCCTCGAGACATGATCGGTACGGACCTCGTGACGAAGAACACCATGAACAACACGATCACCATCAGGACAAACGACAAGCAAAGGGCGCAGAAGTACCTGGGTATCACCACACTCAAGTACCCGGGAGCAGAAGCAGAAACCCAAGCGTACACGGCCAACCGAAAGGAGTCTGTAAGAACAGTGGTCTCCAAATGCCTCCCGATTTCTATCCCGTTCACGGACCAGGAGATCTACGAGCAACTCAAACTGGAGAACCTCAAGATACCTATATCCGACGCGAAGAGGATGGGGCGGACCACCTCGATTCTCGTCACCCTCGACACCACGGAACTTCCTGGATTTATAGTATTCTACTGCTGTGCCTATAGGTACCACCTATACCAAGAGAAAAAGCAAGCGTGCACATCGTGCCGAGAGATGGGACACCGAGCAGACTCCTGCCCGTACGGACTCAGCCAAATTTGTCCCAACTGCGGCGAGGAGCACGACTTCCCCGGGAAAATTCCAGGCATGCGCACGGAGCATACGTGCAAACCCAGATGCGTCATCTGCGGCGGCAGCCACTACACCGGAGGAAAGGAATGTAAGGACAGATACAAGCCTTTGCCCGAGCCGAAGTCTCCGAAAAAGAGCACTCCAGAACGAGATCGGGAGACGGTGAAAATAGACATGGGAAAGAAGAATTTTCCAGAACTGAGTTACGTCACTACAGCGGGAGAAGACTCGGAAGAAGAGCTGAGCTACGCTCAAACCCTCCGCAAGAAAAAACGCGCAAGCAAGAAGAAGCAAGACTCCAATCCTAGAATTAAGGAGCTCTAAAAGAAATACGAAGACCTCGTACGCAAGCACGAGGAGAGCCTGCGAAAACAGGAAGAGCTCAGAAGACTCAACCAGCAACTCCTACGGGAGCTACAGAAGGAGAGGCACGGCTCAAACCCACTAGTTACGGAACCGCCTAATGAACAGACGACAGTCAAAGAAGTGGAAATGGCACCGCCTCCGTCTCTGCCCAGTGTACGTCCGCGTAAGCGCACAGACTCAGAGAGCACCGTCAATTCTGCACAGACAAGTGACGAAACCAAGACCAGCAGGCCCGGGAAGGTTAGAAGAAAAGAAGAGCCCAACCAGAACGCCATCCTGGCGGTACTAGCTAGGCTTGAGGCTATGCTCAACGAAATGAAACAGAGAATGGACAACCACGACAAGGCATTCCAGAACGTATTCGAACGGCTCGAGCGGCTCGAACAGCGCGCCAATGGACAACAGTAATAACATTGTCGTGTGGCAGTGGAATAGCGGAGGACTTTGCGCCCGGATCAACTCGCTCAAGATGTTTATGATGGATACGGAAACTCCTCCGGACATTATAACGGTACAAGAATCTGAAGACCAATGTAACCTGCAAGGGTACGCAAGATTCGATGCAGAAGTTCAGCCAACCGGACAAACGATTCATACTTTCGTCAGACGACATCTCCCAGTCAAGCAACACGAAGTTGACCTGGATGAATCGGTGAAAGCAATGGTCACGGAAATTATACCGAAGAAAAAGAAGCACAAAAGCTTATTCATCTGTAACGTTTACTCGAACCCCAAAGACACCACGAGCGCATGCGCCAAGGTCTTTGCGGAGACGAGCCGCGTAGCGGGTGAAAATCCGACACTAGTGCTGGGCGATTTCAATGCGCACAACACCATATGGGGCTACGGCAGAGACACACCCAAGGGGAGGGAAAACGCCAACCAAGCCGAGTTGCACGAAGCTTTTCTCCTCAACGAAGTTGCGGACTACACCAGGATCGGAAACAGTGCTCAGAAAGACACGAACCCGGACCTCACATTTGATATCAACATCGATGACTACACGTGGCTGAACACGCGTGAAAATCTCGGCAGCGATCACTACGTCATCGAGACGAGGGTCCCCCTGCCCGGATACAAGAGCGCAAAATTCCCAACGCAGAAATGCACGGACTGGGACAAGTTCAGGCAGAAGCGGAAAGACAGGCCGTTGCACACGATCGAAGAATGATGCGCACAGCTAGTCGAAGATCACGAGTCTGTTACGACCGAAGTAGAAAATCCTACCCAAACCCGGACTATGGATAGTAAACTCCAGCATATGCTAGAAGCTTACCGCTCCATATACAGACGATGGAGGAACACCGGAAAGCGGTACCGTAAATTGAGGAAAAAAGCGGCCAAGCTCAGTAAGAAGATTGAAGAACACGCTCAGAAATTAAATCAACAACAGTGGCAGCAAATATGTGACGAACTGCACGGAAGGCTTCACACCAAGAGTCCATGAACCCTATTCAGGCGCATGTTGGCGCCGGAAGATACCAAGCTCGAGAAGCGCAAACTCCTAGCGAAGCTCGTCAGAGACCTCAAGGATGACGAAATCTATAACAAACTCAGGACGCAATACTTAGAATCTCCGCCATCTACTACTGAGATTCCAACGGAATACGAAGGAGCCATAAACGACAAGCTGGACGCGCCCATCACCGAAAGCGAAGTCAGAAAGGCTATGGCTGGAGTCAAAACAACTTCCACACCAGGCCAAGACAAGATTACGAACCGCATGCTACGAAACCTTGACGACAATTCCGTGGAGCGAATCACGGAATACTTTAACGAGCTATGGACTAGCGGAAACCTTCCAAGCAGTTTCCGACACGCCACGGTCTGCTTTATACCGAAACCGGGCAAGCCACTCATGTTGGAGAACCTGCGCCCGATTTCCCTCACATCTTGGGTGGGCAAGCTACTTGAACGCATTATTCAAGTACGTGTTCAAGAGTACATGGAGGAGAACAACCTGTTTACGCACCAGATGTTCGGATTTCGAAGACACCTGTCGACGCAGGACGTGTTTATACAGCTCAGAGAGGAAGAAGACAATAAGAAATGGACCGCCCTAGCAGCACTCGATCTGAAGAAAGCCTTTGATCGCATATCACACGCGGCTATACTCAGGCAAATCTCGGAGCTAGGGCTAGGGAAGCGAACGTACAACTATGTTCGCTCGTTCCTATCAGATAGGACGGCAAACATTCAGCTAGAAGGAGACACGTCCGAAACCTTCCCAGTAAATGTTGGCAGCGGAACTCCTCAAGGAGCAGTAATATCTCCGCTCCTCTTCAACATTGCCATGCTGCCAATGTCGCGGAAACTTGAGCAAGTCGTGGGGCTGCAGCACGCAATCTACGCTGACGACATCACGATTTGGACAGCGCACCACTCACCATACATGGGGAAAGTGATGAAAGCCGGCGTAGAAATTGTCAAAGAAGAAGCTGCAAAGATGGGTCTGGAGCTTGCAACTGAAAAATCGGCGCTCCTAGTCAGACCA